TGGTGTGCATTTAATATTACAGTTCCATTTGCAAAGTATATCTCTCCCTAATAAATTTGTAGGGGTGATATCATAGAGCAGGAAGGAATGTTTTTCAGTCAAAGATCCAAGGGTTGTAGTTAAGGACTAAGAGATAAAGAGAAATCTGTGAGTTATTTGAAATATCTACCTCTCCTGTGCTATGTTTACTCCAAGGAAGAGATTGAGCAAAGATAGAATGGCTTAAAGGATTAGTATTGTTAGAAGGTATCTTTTAGTTTATCTCAGAATCTCCTATAGTTTCATCTTTTTATTTGTTTGCATGATTAAATTACATATCAATTAACTTTTATTGAAAATGTTTTAGGTGTGGCTTTCAGGAGACTTTGACCTATTTTCTGGCCTTTTTTGACCCTGTGGCTTTCTGTGCAAAGAGGAGTCAGATCCCTCTCCAGATCGGTCCAATCGGTTTTTGTCATCCAGAATTTAGCATCTGTGGTTCTGAACAACATATGTACAAATTGATACAGATCAGGTAACCCTGGGTCATATGTGCCCAAATAATTCAAAATTGTTCTATGAATATTTGCTGTTCTTGCTTGGGTTTAGGGAAGTCCTTCATTACACTTAATTTAACTCAAGTCCAAGGTTTAAATTCTACAGTTGCTTGCAATCCTGGCTCATGGGAGGGATGGATCCTTAGAGGAAACTGGCATTTGGGGTTTTTAGGAGAGTTTTGGGGAAAAGGAGGAGATGTAGAAGGAGAGAGATCAGAAGGATAAAGGGGAAAAAGAAGAAATGGCTACAGGGAAGCAACTGGAGGACAGGACGGGGAGGACTTACTATGGAAATGAGTCTAAGTTGTTGTTTAAGTTTGCCAAATTGCTCGTTAGCTTTAACCAAAGAATCTTTCAGTGAAGTAATTTTGAAAAGAATTTAATCAGAAGGGCTCTGCAAACCAATCAAAAAATGCTGCCCATTGGATCTGAGAAATCTTATTCTCTTTCTTTTTAAAGGCGCCTCTCCAATGAATGATTTTGTTCAAGTCCAGTGTTCCACACAGTGGCCATTGAAGGCCCAGATTATACTTGGTGAAGTTATGTCATTTGAAACATAGGGGCAAGAATTAGAATTGTAATGAGTAGACAGACATAAAAGAAGCATGAGTTTTTCTGGAAGGAAGAGAGGAATTGGACTTAGCTGGCCCCATAAGAGCTGGCAACAATCAGTTGAAAGGCATACTTGTTTACTTTTTGTTGAGCTCTCAACTGGTAGTAGCTGCCTCCAAAGCCAGACCCAACAATTTTCACCTCCAGGCAGGTGGAAGACTAAAGAGAATGCTCTCTGTGAATCAAAGCCAAACTCTCAGGATGAAAAATTGAGATAACCTTATCTGGTTTTATTGGTGACCCAAAGCAAAGTTTAACCTGAAGAATACCAGTCCAGTCAGTCCAGCTCAAACAAAAGCCTTAAAGGGCCTATGCCTGTGTTCTACTCTGTGATAACACTTTTAGACATAACATGAATTAGAAGCAGAAAAGAGAACAAAAAAGAATGAAAAGTGATAGTCTGATTTCACTAAAAATGCCAAACAAAGAGGAACCAGTAACAAAACCTGGTATCTAACTGAGACTAGATAGCCAAAGAACTCAAAAGCAAAGAGCAGAGTTCGCACCCAGTGCTGACTTACCATGTCGACACATACTGCAAGTGGTAAGCACAAGATGCCTGGGTGGGTACCACACTGAGCTGAAGGTTGAGGTCCATGGTGACCATAGAGTAGACACTATCTTGGTGGAACCTTTGGGAAAACTAGGGAAATAAACAAAGACTGCCCAAATGAAAACAAACAGAGGGTACGTATTCAGAGCTTGCTCTAGCGAGCCTCCATTACTTGTGTTTGGCAGAGACTAAAAAGCAGGCGGGGGACTTGGGAAAGCTTTGTAGTGAAAAAAAAGGAGGTTTTTAAAAATGTTCTGATTAGATCTTGGTGACACGAGGAAGCTAGAGACAGGCTAACTAGAAGCAGGGCTTTTTATAGTTTGGAGAGCATATTTGTCTTTCTTTGATCTTGTAATGGAAATAGGGGCAAAAATTGGGGAAGTTGGCAATCACTGACCAAGTCCTGACTGTTCTGGACCATTTGCTTTAGAGATTGTGGTTTTGGTTTCCTGGACTGGTTGTGAGTCAGAGGTCTATTGTCATATATGGTCTAGCCATTGTCCATATATTCAGTCTTTCACAGTGGAAGCTTTGCATTGTAGATATTTTTTAAATTGATAATATTTTATTCTTTAGCTGTCGAACTAACTAGAAGTCCTACAATAGTTGGTCATGTAATGTTTTAAACTGTCTAATACATTTGTTAAGGGTGGAAATTTTTCAAGTGAGCCAACTAGCTAAATCAGCTACAGGGAAGAAATATCTTTAGATACCAGAAGTTGTCCTACTTGCTTGTGTGTGGTTTAGGAAGTGTATTGTATAAGATATGAAGATGGCCAATGTCTGCTTCTGTAATCCATTTACTTGTTAATTAAGGGTGTTGTTCCGGGCAAAGATATGCTAACAGCTAATTTCCACTTCTGTAATCTGCTTGCTTGTTCAGGAGACCACCAGGATATGGTCTTACACTTTATCAGCTGCCTCCTCTAAAGGCTCGGGGCTGATCTCCTCTAGCCCTGCATGGCAGAGAGTCAGTCGCCCGCCGGCTAATAAAGGCTCATAATTAATCTCAATTGGCTCCGTGGGTCTCAGAATTGTTCGCGCCATAACACACTTTCAAATACATTCTTCCCCTCTTTCATCCTTACAGCAGTCTTGTGATCCTGGGAGGTTAATTACCTAAAGTCATTCAATGGATTTGGGCTAGAATTAGGATTAGATCATAGTATAGAATGATTTGTAGTATATTATTCAAATTGTCTGGTATAGATATCATCTATACTGGCTTTAAAATATTTTGGGTTCTATACTATGATAAAGGATCTATTCCAATTGTTTCTAATTTCATTGCTTAAAGGTAAGGTAAAGCCTTAAAGGGTCATAGCTCTCTTCAAATACCTACAAGGCTGGGAAGAAGGATTAGGTTTATTCCTATGGCTCCAGAGTGCAGGGCTCACACCAATGAGTGAAAGAGAGACAAATTCCAATTAGAATGTGAAGTATCTTTCTAATAATGAGACACTTGCTCCCAAAAGAAGAGGTCGTCTCATGAAAGAGTCAGTTCTTCATCTCTCCTAGTGTTGAGTAGGACTCCACGATTCTACGACTCTAGAGAGTTCTTGAACTGGACAGGTAGACTGACCTCGAAGGGCTTCATAAACTTCAGGTTTACGAAATTTTGTTAAGTTCTAAAAAGAGGTGTAGACATTTTAAACATAGCAGTTTAAAGTCATTCGAATTCAGGATAAAATTATGATGTTATGTTTCTTATAAACAGTGAGCTCTATTTTACACTTTACTACTGGACTCTTCTTTGAATTAGTATTTTTGTCTTTATGCCATACATTTTCAAGAAAATTTTTTTAAAAGTGAAAAGTGTCCTAATAAAAGATTGTCTAACTCAATTTTTCATCAGCGTCATTTTCTAATTGTGCAATTATAAAATTTTATACCAAACTTATTGCACTTATTTTTGAAGTTTTAATAAATTGTAGGAATTCAATAAGGTAAAAAGAAAAATCCCTTTGAATGGTAAATGCTAGGATTTTAATCTGTAATCTTAACTGTTTGAACAAGATCTGTTTCTTCTTTGTGGCTTCTTATTTAACGTTCCTTCAGGTTGAACACAATGATATGCTTTTCTAGTTTACAAATAACTTGAAGCTGAAATAAAACAGTGAATCCTCTTCTACACTTGAATTGTGATTGTTTGATGTTCTCCAAGGACTTCCAAAGGATCCTCTTCTCACCTCAGCCTTTATTCTGATTCTTTAACTGTTTAAATCAAATCCCCTAATTTCTGCCAGAAGGATATTTCCTTTTAGTGACGGGCTGTGTCTTTCTCTTTTAAAAAACAATACAGAATCTTGAGAAGTCTCTCACAATCTGAGAAGTCATTACAGAGTGTGAAGTAGGCAAGAGATTGGGTGGAAACACATGCCTTCTGCATAAATCCAGTTACTCTGAGTCGTCTTTGACAACTTCCGGGACCAGACTTCAGGCAGTGTTCCAAACAGTCCTCTTAACTACATCTATGTATTTTTTTTAGTGGCTGTACATATTTGCATGCACGTACGGCGAGCGAGAGAGAAAGCGATGACGTGAGCTCTCCTTGGAGAATAGGAGGTGATAAGGAAATAAAACAGGTGTCTCTGAAGGGGTTCAATTAGAGAAAGGAGAGAGAATTGAGAGTTAACCATCATTCAGATGGGCAGAAGTTCCCTGCAGGTAGCCGACTGGAAAAGAGAACTCGTGCACTCTCTTTGGGGACAGGCTCTGTTGCTTTCTATTCCTTCGCTTTCAGCCAGAGTGCACATTTATTTGAAACGGATTGAATTTCCTGCTCAGTGGTTGGCCAGGTTGACTCTTCAAGACTAGTGGATATTTATTTTTAATGTCTCCCTCCAATACCTTTTTTTGTTTTTTTTTTTTTTTTTTTAAGGTTTAGTGAGAAGCAACCGGTCGAAATTCTGGCTGGGTAAGTGCGGGATTCTCAGAAATGAGAAAGGGAGAAGGAAACGATCTTAGAAGCCGGAGAGCAAAGCAGCAGCCCCCGGCCCCAGTACTTCTTGCCTCCCCCACCCATAGCTGGTGACTTCCCGTGGAGACCACCCGCGGCTGCATCAATATTTGATCGGCCCTTCTCCAGTGCGTCTCCAGCACTCGCCCGTGGGGCTTGCCAGGCACGCCCGCGCTGCGCTGCGCTGCGCTGCGTATCTACTATATAGCATGTATCTACTATGTCATATTATATATCTACTATATCATATACTATAGCAGATACCTACTATTACATACTATGGTAAGATATATATCTTAATTTCTTCACAACAGCATGCCCTACTTTTCTCCGACGCCCAGCGCAACCTCCAGCGCGGCGCCGCGACCCCCGCGACCCCGCCAGAGGCGCGGATTTCGACCGAGTCTACAGCGGGGTGGTGAGCCTCAGCACCGAGAGCATCTACTCCTTCAACTACACCAGCCAGCCGGGCCAGGTAAGACACTCGCTCCCCTCTCTCGACTCCCAGGGACTTGCCAGATCCCAGAGCTCCGTCGCGGCTTTGGGTCCCTTGGGAATCGACCTCGGGAGACCGCAGGGACTGGCGGGGGGGTGGGGGGCACTCTCGTTCCCTTTCTCCTTCAAAGCAATCACTGCCTCGCCCGAGCTGCCGCATCCTTCGCAACCGCTTTCGGGGACAACTCCGCTTCATTTCGCGCCTCCCCTGGCCTGGTCCCGGGCATTTCTGAGCTTTCCAAGGCTCTGGTTCCCCGCACAGTCTGCGGTCCTGGCCCCCTGCTGGGCCTTTCTCTAGGAAAATCGTGATTCCTAGGGTCGCGGAGGAAAAGGACCGCAACCGTGTTTCTAATCCCCTGAGGGGAAAAGAACCTAATTTTATTGGGATAAGTCAGCCAGACCCTTCTATTTCAGAGCGCCTAGGGAGGAAGAGCTGCTCACAATCTAAAATGGGAATGTGTGTGAATGGACGCTAGCTGTAGAACCTCTGTATTAAATAGTCACTTCCTGTGTTTCTGTACCATTGTCACGCGTATGTGCTTCAGAGAAGCCAAGAAGACCCCGACAGAGATGTTGGAACTGCCCCCTATCCCCCGATCTATGGAGATGTTGATTTTAAATAAGGATAGATAATTGTGCGAAAGTTCTAGACCTATTTCTGACAAGAATTGAGGTGAGACAAGGAGAGGAAATGACTGTTCCAGCAACTATCTCTATGACACATATACTCTGATTATATAATGTAAGAAAATGCATACGGTTAGCCTTTTTTCCCTTAATATGGTACCCTCTGGGGCGCAAAGAAAGGAAAAAGTTCTCCATTGTACCTGTCTCTGGATCTTCTTTCCATGTAAATGAGTATATGTGTCCCTTACTACTCTAGCATTCTCTACTCCCAGGGAAATTCCAGAATTGGTGATTGGGATACCATGATATGCTTCCCTCTCTAACTCTCACTTGGGATCAGAACTTAGAAACCTGGTAACTTCGGGAAGTATTGAGCTGGAGGGACTAATGTGCCTATCACCCTCTCAGACATCTGTGTGTATTTAGCAAGTTCTCCCTCTCCAGTCTGGCACTCATTCCTAAGGTGCCGTCACCATGGCAGCACAGCCCTGGCCCTGTCCTGTCCTCCACTGACCTTCAGGTCATGCACTCTAAAGTGAGCAGAATAGCTGTGTGCAGAGCCATTTCATCACAGACGAGTGGGAGGGGGCAACTTTTATTCTCCAAACCCCATGTAAGTGACAGCTATCCGCTGTGTAGTATGGATCAAATGACGTATTACACATGAGGTGTAATCAAATGATGTGCTGAAAGTAAGCCTTGACATCAGGCTTACAGTTTCTCACATTTCTGCTTAAAAATAGATTGACTGCTGTTTAACTGCCATTTTGGCCTTTTTATCCTTACTATTCGGTAAGTTCCTATACTACAATACAGCATGGTTTGCACTGTTTGTCATTGGGGTCACCTGCTTGACTTTCCTAGAAAACTGTGAGATACTGAGGACAAAGGCAGAGTCATGTTCATCTCTGTACCCCAGTACCTAGCACAGTGCTTGGCGCATAAAAGGGTTACTAACATTTTGGGGGGGAAATGATTAAATGAAGAAAGATTTAAAGAATATTTAAGCTAAAGCTAAATAAAATAAACTATATACTATTTTAATAGGTCGAAAGTGTGATATTATTTCAGATAAAAAGTTTTTTTCATGAAAAAAGTTTATGAAAAACAAAAAATTTTTAAAAGATCTGAGATTATGCCCTTTCCATTTTGTCTGTATGTGTGTTAAAATCAATGGTGATAATCAGTATTTAAAATATCTTTGCATAATATAATAAAAAGTTGGCCACCCCAACAGTCCCTAAAATTTTACTAGTCTGAGAAATACAGTTGGGGACCGTGAGACTAGCAGATAATTCAAGCGTTTTAATTTTTTAGTGACAGTAAGCAATAATATAAACCAGATGTTCTCAAATCTTACAGCTTTCTGAGACCTCTCTTTAATAAGCAAATAAGACGGTGGAGCTCTCAACTCACTTACTTTAGAAATTACCCTCTTCTCCTATCCAATATTTCTGTTTATTTCTCCAGAGATGGCATTTTTCTGATTTTCCCATCCAAACTATTACTCTGTTTCTATTAATAGCCTCTACTTTTCTTGGCCTCTTTTGCCCCAGAAACCCCTCCTTCCAATACCATGAAAATAATACTGTTGGATGTAGCAGAATTTTACTGATGGTTTGGAGTAACATAAGGAAATTGCAGAACACCACAGGATAAGTGATAGATTAAATCAGAAATCTAAGCAACACTGTTATAACAATTTATCAGCTATTTTTCAACACGGGAAATTTCAAGATGGCGGCACTATTTGGGGCGTCCTGGCTTGTCACCATCTTTTTGGCCACCTGCTACCCCAAATGCTAGCCTCCCACTCTTTAAATTTTTGTTACTCTCTCATGTCAAGCAGTTTGCCTCTATTTCCAACCCCAAACTCTGCTAAATAAAAATCTATGAACCCAAGAGCAGATGTATGAACCTAAGAACGTGACCATGACTTTCTTCCTTTCACCTGAGCAAGTCTTGGTCAGGGCTCTCTTCCCTGCAAGGGTCATTTCCCACCTACTCCTCTTCAGTGCAATAAAGAATTGATTTAGAAAAAAAAAAAAAAAACTAATTACAAAGAAAAATTAAAATAACTACACACATTCTGGAAAATAAATGTGGATATTCATTAATTTTCCAGCTCTATATTTATGGAACCTTCTATTTCTCAGACACTGACGTAAGCGCTGAGATGGCAGTGGTAATTTGCCTTATAGTGCTTACATTGAAGACAAATAAGGACATAAATTAACGGTATCTAAAATGTTACATAAAAACCTAGAAACAAATAAACAAACAAAAAAGATGTCATGACAAGTGGTATCTGAATGAGCAGGGAAAGTCTCTAATGAGATGGCAAAGGACTGAAGCCTTTTAAAGAGCTCATGGAGACCGTTTTACATACTGGCGATAGCAAGAAAAGGCACAAGGGCAACAAAATGATTAGCAAGTTTAGAAAGAAAAATAAGGGTGAAAAAAGGCAGCAGAAGATCACATAATATCCATGTCCAATGGTTAGGAATTTGAATTTCTTTTAAATGGCATGAGAAACTATTAAGTGATTTTAATTTAATTAAAAAAAAAAAAAAAAAAATCTAATTTTTCGAATTTTAATCTTTTTTCCTTTTTTCTTCAAGCCATTGTTATGTTTGCCATTATTTTTCTTTCAGCTTGGAAGAGAAAGACTATTCTAAATTTAGGCTTTGGTGACAAGAGGAAGCTGCAGTGGGAGTCTTCCTCCTAATCTTTCCTGTCAGCCCTGCATCTTCCATACAAAACACTGTCCCAGAGAACTATTTAGCCAAGCATGTGTCATGCTAATTAGCTGGGCTCAGCACCAGGAAAAGTCTCACATGCCTTCCAGGCAGAGGGTAATGTAAATATGAAGTTGCCATTGAAAAAGAAAAAAAATACTGAAAGAATGGAGAGACTGGTTTAAATAATGAAAATAACGAATGAAAGTACAGATTAGGCAAGGTTCAGTTCACAGGGTGTTCTAAAACCACAGGACTGCAACAACACTAGAAGGAAATCACCTTGTTGAGAAAGTCACCGGGAATATGTTTGACTAAGACAGAGGGCACAAAAGTAGATTTATTGGAAGTGTGAATACTCTTACGGAGACAGATGGCAGCAACAATCAGATGTTTATATTTGAACTAGATGGTGATAAGGATCCCTTAAATAAAAATCTACCCATCGTGCAACAAGATGTCTTTTCTGAGGCTTTCAGTAGCAAAATTCATTGTTTGCCATAGATTTTTGAATTTGAAATGTTTTCCTGGAAATAGTTATTTTATTTTGTTTATTAAACTGAGGCACTTATCTTTTAATAACATATACTTTTCTATACCCAAGGAACAATCCTTGGCTTTATTGATATCAACCAGTTGTTATATATCGATAACCAATATACCAGCCTCTTGGATCCAGATTCAAAATGCCTATCCAGTTCTCGTGAACAATGAAATATATATCAGGATATTCCCATGGTAACTACTAGCTATATGCATCCCTAGTTATGTAGAAGAATTAAAAACTTTGATGTGATAGCCTCAGTTCTCCGAATCTAGTATGTACTCTCCCTGTGTTCTCTGTCGACTGAGGCAGAGAAGTCTGGTCTGTTATCCTCTCACATCTCATTAGCATGTTACCTGAGTGATTGATTGGTTACTGTTTCAGCCAATTCAGGCTGTTATAACAGAATACTCTAGTTTGGGTGCTTTGAAAAATGAATATTTCTCATGGTTCTGGAGGCTGGGAAGTCCAAGATCAACGTCAGCAGATCTGGTGTCTGGTAAGAGCTGGCCTCCTGGTTTGTAGACAGTGCCTTCTATCTGTGTCTTCACATGGCCCAGAATGCAGAGGAAGAAGCAAGCCTCTCTTGTCTCCTCTTACAAGGGCACTAATCTCATCATAAATGCTCCAACCTCATAAGCTTATTACTTTCCTAACCTCCAAATACTATCACATTGGGGATTAGGCTTCAACTTATGAATTGGGGAGAGGGGAGACTTCCCACATTTTTTCTGCGCCTTTGGAAATGGAGCATCAACGTGTCATAAGGATAGTTAGGACCTGAAGTTACTGCAATTATGGGTCTGATTTTATGGGGACACATTTTCTTCCTGCCTAGACCATGTGCTAAATTATATAATGGCTTCTGTAGGTATGTGCTATCTGGTATGATAGCCACAATCTATATGTGACTAGGGAGCACTTGAAATGTGACTTGGTCACAAAATGAGATGTACTGTAAATATAGAATACACACCATATTTTGAAGGCAGTATGAAAAAAATAACAAAATGTATCATTAACATTTTTTGATTATATTTTATGTACCAGATATATTAGTTTAAATAAATA